GTTGTATTTGAGCATGTATACAAATGCACGACATTTTAGACCAACAACGCACTCAGTAACAAATAATGCATTCACAATACAACTATTGAAAAAAACATCAAATGTTTATATAATTATTGTTGTGGGATGACGCGTCATTTATGAAGTAGCACAATACTATAGGCATAAAGTTTTTAAACAGGAACAAGATACAGGGCAATCTATTTTTACTTCAATTGGAACACAGAGCATGTTTCTCAAAGCTAGGAGCTACACAATACAACGGTAAATTCTTTGCATGCAAAAAAAGTGTACATGAAATTTTGTACACATTGCCTTATTAAAATAGTACAATGCAACTTCTATTGAAGCATCTACATGTCAGAAATGGTGAATTTTTGGTTAAGTCGTTCAAAAGGAATGGGTGCGACTTCCCTTAGGGAAGTGGCTTCTGATAGAGATTTCATTTTTATCGAGAACAAATCTGGCCTCCAAACTCAGCTTTGTGTTTATTAGCTCATTTTATAAAGGACATTTAAACCTATATTTCGTATTAAATTTCTTAGCCTGTCAGCGGGGATTGTCACATGCTTGCAAAGCAGGAATTCAACTTTAAGGTTAGAACAGCAACAAAATTATGTAAATTAGTTCACACTTGTTGGATTATATAAGAATGATGGTCACAGTATGTGCTACTTAGTGAAATGAAATAAAATAAACATGGTTACAAAGAACTCTGAAATAAACTTAATATGGGCAGATTTCAACGCTAAATTAGGTAAATTCTTACTTTATACATTAAAATCTGAATGGTTTTTGAGATATCAGTGAGTCAACTGTAACCTTATGTCATTTGGGAATAATTTGATGTCCAAGTTGTGAAGTTTTATTGTCAGCTCATTTGACTATAACCGCTAGTGTTTGAGCCAACAATGAGTCAGAACTCAAAACATTCGCCGTTTGAAAAACTTAGTTATTAACGATAAAGATGATATCTAGTCAAATATCAAGCTGTGTATCATCCAATTTTGCTTCTGTATGGAATGGGCAAGACCACTAGAACAATATTTGAAACAAATTCGATGTGAATAAAAGGTTGAAATGTCCTTTGTTTTGTGGTGGGAGAAAAAAAGGTAGTGATTCAATATCGAAATGTGATTGAATCAAACACATCAGGGTCTGAACGTTAAGTTTTCTAAAACTGCCTTAGATTAAAATTGAGAATATAATTGAATTGTAGTGAAGGAGAATTCAGATAAGTCTGGGCACTGAGGCTTGAACCAGACTTTTGTAAAGACTTTGAAATAGGACATTTGGGAGGGGGTGGTCTGCACGTGATGCAAGATTTCTTGGGTACTAGAATTTGATAGTGAATACTGATTGGTCTTGAAAAATACAGTTAAAAGAAAACCTAGCTGAACAGTAGAACTTTATTTCTACCAATTTTGAAGAAAATCCACCAGTACTCCAAGATTCTTCTATGTTTTGACAGATTATTTGCATCAATGGAAAATGCTAAATTAATGTTTGCAATAGTCTGAATGGTGAAAACAGATAACTGAAAGTGAAGTAATCACTTAGATTAACCATTATCATGCCTATTCCATGTGTTACAGCCAATTGGACATTTTTTTTTATATCCAATGGGCTATTTGAAACATTTCCAAAGATTGCAAAATTGTTAAGTGGGGGATGCTTTGTTATGTTATTCAAACAACTGTTTGGAATATCATAAATACATTTTCGCTATACATGGCTAATTTCAGATATTCACCAGTTTATGTTGGTGTTGAGTAACATATACAGAATGTTTTCAATTCTCAACATCAACTGGACCGCACACTGATTTAGTCAGCTAATTGTAAAAAAAAATGTAAAATCCACGCATGGATATACTTTGATAATTAGTGAAATATCAAATACATCAATCTCCACCTTAATCAGCAAAATTGTTCGACAGTGGCAAAAAATTGTAAACTGGTGTACAAGAAACGGCGTTAATAAAATGCAAATGAACATTGAATGCACCAAGAATCATTTGCCACGTTTACAATTCTGATATTTTATAATGAGCTACGAAACTGGAAAATGGCCTAAATAGAATCTCCAATGTTTCTTGCCAAATTCTTGATATCAGTTGCTTATTGCACATTTTGTATGCACAGCATTTGCGCTACTGTATTATGGTTTTCAGATGTTGTATAAATAGTTATAGTAGCATGATTAGCAGGTTTAAGAGAAACTCTGATCAATTTTGAAGCTGAATGTATTCATACCAGTTCAGGAAGTTTTATAAAAGTTTTAAGTGAACACAGACCTGAAATATTAGTTGCCGCAACCCCTCTCCCTTTTTATAAAAAAAAATTCAGAAAGCAAGACACTGGGTAAATACAAAAGTATGACAATCCAAAGGAATATATTGAATATGCTACGAATCACAATCTGTCATACAGGCAGATTATTTAATTGCACAAGACTAAAACGCTTTAACATAAATTTCCTGAACTATTGCTAAAAGTTATATTACTATAACATGCACTTGCTTAGTCAAAAACATTTTTTGTTTCCTTATGTCAAAAAAAATGCCTAAAAGATTGTGATACCAGTATCAGCTATGGGATGTTTCTTCAAAGAGAAACATTCTAAATTTAGTTGGCAGTGTTTTGTTTCCCAAACTGAATTCATGTTATTTAAACTATTTTTAAATAGTGTATGAATATACTTAGCACTTTTAGACTTTGATTTTGTTTTCGTGTGGAAATTACTAGAATGCCATACAAACCACCTCAAGTTTATGCTTTACTTTTTTTTTTTTTTTAAGACCGATTTGTAATGAGAGTTTTAACAGTACAGTTCAACACCTTCAGGAAAATCATGTATTGTAACCGTGGGTATTGAGTACCAGTATCCTCCCAGTTCACCCGTAAACATTTTTACTATATTAATATCTTAGTATTCGATAACTTCATGCATTACTCTCACTAATACTAATCTGTAAACCAACAAAGGAAACTCCAGGCCAAGACAAATCATTTTGGAGTATATTCACAATAATTCCAACAAATAGAATGTAACAAAGCAATTAGAAATGACCTCTGCATGAAAATATGACCTCTGCATGAAGATAGAGCATTAAATGTACATTCTGGACATGATGCATACAATATTCAATTACCAAAGCCAACAAAATATAAGTAGTGATTCACAGTATTTACAGATACAATTTGGAAGTTATTCATATAGACCAACATTATCCATTGTATAATCAGAAATGAACACACAAGTAGCACAAAGATTCGAGTCACTGATATATGGACCAACACAATATTGCATAATAAGAATAACACAGTATTAACACAAAGGAAAATTGTATGTACTACACACATTAGAATCAATGCAACAAAAGCATAGCATCAATGTATCGTCAATGTCACAGTCAGCTTACAGAATATGTACGGTATATATTACCTTCTCTTCTAGAATAATGGTAAGAACACCAGCACTGTTCAAACCTGTCAGAAGGAATCTGAAATCATTTCTAATCATTCTAAAATATGCATCATTGTAACAGATC